TTTGGTTTGGTTTAGCTACCATTTGCATTATAATTTCATTTGTTTCGCTTAGTTTCGTAATTAGGATCTTTAAAGTCCAAAATACAACATCAAATTACTTAGCTTATTCGAATAATTGGATTCTTAGTGTTGTTATTCTTAACTCCTTGTGGTTCGTCCCTATGCTATGCTACAACAACTAGAGTGTGTTGTTAGCTAAGTTTAGGTATAAAAATACAATTTGACACACATCAAACTGATATGCCTGAGGAATCCAAGTTGGCTCGTGAGTTTGTAGAGTATCTCGAGAAAAGAGGAGTTGTTTACCGACTTCCAAAACGTTTGTACGAGGAGCTGGGAGAATCTGGTGGGGCTCAAACGTAAAGATTCTGAATCAGAGGAACAAGGGGCAATCCGCAATCTTCGCACATAATAAACCTGAAACTGCTACGCACTTTTGTGAATGTCTACGTCTGTCAATTCCACTACATTTCATCACCTCCTCTCTGTTATTCAAGGTTATGTTTTTGTAGCTTGACCATCCAAGATCACTCTTTACTTCTTTACAATACTTTCTTGTACTTACTTCCAGACTGAACAATGTCCAGTCTTCTTTTTAGAAAAATATCGAAACTGTTGGTTGACATTTCTGAAACTTCCAGACAGAGCAATGCCCCGAGACTTGCCAATTTAAAAGCTTGAGTCTTGAGTTTCTAATAGCTTCTCCATAAATAGCTTATCCATCTCTTTCTAAGATTCATCTTCTATGAAGCATGAGACCTTTGAAAAAACTTCTTCCTTGACTTGGCTTCCGCATCACTAATTTCAATATCAGTTTTATCAAATACCTGTCATCATTTTCAGTCAAGCTTAGACGCGCTCTTTTGTGTCAAAGCAGCTTTGACTTTATCATACTCACAGAAAGCCTCCACACATGCTTCATGCTTCTCTCACTACATAAGCCATCTTGGTTTTGCAAAACTGTTCCAACTGATTTCCACAAAACATCACCATCCATGGAATGTGCAAAGGTAACAAGGTCGACAAAGCTTGGTATATATTTTGTAGTCTGCCTCTAGATGGTGTGGAGCCTGATGTTCAAACTTACAATTCAATGATATGTGGGTTTTGTATATATTGTTCTGTTTCTGAGCAAATGCGTTATTCCACAAAACAAAGGGCAGTGGACATGTACCAAACGACTGCACATACAATACAGAAACTAGGGGACGTCTTAGAGCTAGTGAAAATTGTTGCATTAGCTCAACTTATCAAAGGAAATGCAAATCAAGATTGTTTACAGATTCAACAAAGACTAGAGTGTGATTTAAGCATCGGTGGGACCAGGATAAGCAGGAAGTGTCATGATTCGCTTGTCTAAAACCGGACCACCCACGGTGAAATGGTACAGACTCTGAAAGCTCGAGTCTTTAATCCCAAGAAGCTCGTGCACTGGATCATCGAAATAGCACCCAATTCCAGTTGCTGAGATCCCCATCGCATGTGCTTCCAGGTACAAGACTTGCCCAACAACACCAGTCTCCCAGAACAGTCGAGGGTACATCCACGAGCCATTCTCCCGCAGCACTTGTTCAAACCGAGCCACCATGCCTAGGCTGAAGCATCCATCCCCTGCAATGTCCTGCATCAACCACCATGATTCAGCGAGAATTTTATTCAAGTGACATGTAGTATCCCAACTTTGTCCAAATCCGTACCTGATGACAAGATAGCCATTTTGCCAGCTTCTGGCAATCACCCTCGGTGAGCTTGTACAGCGGAAGATCGTCCGGGCATCCATCTGGTTTCCTCCACTCAAATTCAGGCCTCGTACATCTCTTGAGATCACTGAGATGGTCCTCGTTTCTGACTAGGAAATACAAACCCTTGGGCAAACGCGTAACTCTATGCACAAAGAGAGCAAGATGAACCTCAGCTGTATCCCAAGGAAGAGCTCGAAAGGGCAGAGCAAGTTGCTGTTTTTGCGGCTCGCCTCTAGTGGAACCGGAAGGAAGACAGTGCATCAACATCTGGTAGAACACAGACTTGTCTATAAAAGTAACACCGTCCATATCAACTGCACTTCTTCTCTTCCTTACAACTTGCCTTGCCGTTAAATTTTTATACGCACTCTGGCTAATCACACCACTGCTTCTTCTGAGGGAAGACACAACTAAAGGCGACGATGACAAGTCAGAGATCAATGGAGGCTTTTTCACTGCCTCGGCTGTTGTATAGATGATATCCCAAAACAAATGCTCTTTACTCAGAACATTGGGCTTTCCTTTCCACTCAAGACTCTGGAATTCTTGTCTAATAGCGGAGCTAATTCCGGGATAATCAATGTTGAAATCTCTAGTTCCGTTGGGAAAAACAAGCAGCAAGCAATCAGGATGCTCGAGCTCAATCTCTGGGAATTCACCTTTACCTTTAGCTTTAGAGGGTATGTGAAATTCCGGGAGACCCATTAGCCTCATGAGATTATCAGCTCCAAAGCCGTCGAGAAGCTTCAAGTCCCAGCCGAGCTCTGCGGCTGCGATGGAGAGAGCGGCAATGGCGTGACCCACGTCGTGATTACAGTACCTAAACGCTCGTTCTCCGTACTTCCAGGCTTCACGCCAGAAAATAGAAGAAATCCCGATGAGGAAGGAATTCTGAGGGAAGAATTTGGGGAAAAAGGAAGGTGGGATGTGTGCTCTAACCTCCAGAGAATGGTCTTTGGGAGCATAGTGGGCGGCGAAGGCAGAGTCGGAGAGAGAATCGATTGGGGGAGAAATGAGATAAGCCTCGGTGGGATGCAAGTTGCCGCTGCTGGGGTTGACGCGGAGAGGCCAGGTGGAGAATCCGGTGGTTTTCCAGGCGGAGAGAGCGAGAGAATGGTAGAGAAGGTGAGAGATGGTCGAGAGAGAGATGGGTTTGGGAGAAGGAAGCGAATCGAAGAGAGAAGAATAGAGAGGAGAGTCTGAGTCCTGAGTGTCGGACTCATCATGTTGGAGAGGAAGAAGAGGAGCAGAGAGGTAGCGGCGAAAGGGATTAGGCTGATTGGCCCAATCGAGACCTCGAGGACCTCTGGCGTAAGAGGTGAAGGAATGCTTCGTCTGGTTATGGTACTTGAGAACCAATCTCAGCTTTTCCGTAGAATTAGGGCTTTCCACAGACGGT